TGGTTAAAACATGTGCAGATAATGGTCTATCAAAGTTCTAATCACAAGACACCCAATTCTCCTCTAATACAACGTTAGAGGTTGAATTCAAGAGGAAAACTCATTATAAAAAATTGAAGCACATAATTTATCATCCTGAAGTATGTGCTTGTTTTCATGCACGCGAGGAGGAAATAAAGTTTAAAACTTCTTAATTGAATCTTTGACAAAGTGTATTATGCGGATATATAAATGAGAGATTCAAACTATGTAAGCATGAAATGCAGCTGTTTCAAAAAATCCATATTTGGTTTCATGTGCACTTATGAAAGGATTTGAGACACATGGCGGATAATAGTGTTAATGATATTTAGAAGTTTGTAAGAGTTAAGTGTATATTATCTTTTAATATTCATTTTAGTATATGAGTTTAATCGTTACCAACATCCATATATTCAAAAATTCGTTCAATTGTAATATACTAAAATGAAAAATTTAATCAAACGACATTTTTATTTATGTTTAAGTTTTATTAGCAGAATGTTTGTGATTTTAATGGGTTATTGATGGGTCATTTGGTTTTGGTGATTCTTAAATCAATGCATGCATTGTAATATACATGTAATTAAAGAAAATGATGTAATGTACTTTACATTGTTTGGGTTTAGTGATAATTCTTTTAGTATTCAATATGTTATATTACTTTTTGTGAGAAATGTCACTTTTGCCCTTGCTTTTATGAGAACATATATATAACTAGGGGTATAATTAGAACAAAAAGGAACCCAAAAATCTTCTTAAAACCATCTCAACAATTTCAAGTTTAAGTAGAGAAATTACTATCACTCATTTTGAGTTATAGTTTCCATCACATCAAGCAAACATGCATGTATTGTTTGTGCAGAAAATTCAAACAAACAATGTACTGTGAACAATACATGTATTCTAACTATCCCAACCAAACAATCATCAAAACAAAAGGACCCTTAGTTACTGGCATATCGGCAAAGTAGCGATTGTACTTTCCTTTGTCTTGTTGACCAATGGAAAGTTATCCTACAATACATATAAGCAGTTAAGCACGTTCTCCTCCTGTACCTGGGGGTGAACAAACACACCCGCAAACCGACCCACCCGTCCAACCCGACCCAACCCACCACACCCGTATTTATCGCTAAAACGAAGGTTTTGGGTTGGGTGAGGGTTTTCTTTTGTACAACTCGCCTCTTTTGGGTTGGATTTGGATTTTGGATTACACAACCTGTAGAACCCGACGCAACCCGTGTTCCAACTATTAGTATGAGTTTGTATCTAAAAATATTTATGTCGTATATAGCCATACTTATGAGAAAATTAAGATATTTCGCCATGTTTTCCTATCATGGTCTCCCTAATCTAATGCATTCTTCGACTTAAAGTTTAGACATAAATTGAATATAGTTATGATTCACATATCCTTTTTCTTGTGTACAATTTTAATAGAATAATATATTTTGGATGCGTTTGTTTATAATCTTTTTAGCCTATTTCAACAAATATCGTGAAAAAACTAGACATATGTTGAAGTAAATCACATTTTATTAAAATTCAAATAACATTTGTGAATTTTGATACCTTTCACCTCGGTTTATTAGTTTGAAATTTTAATTAGTTATAAAATATTTTTATGATGTATAATAATTATATATTTTATGTTGGATTGGATTTTTATTTAAAATATCGACAACCCGACCCAACCCAACCCAATTAGAAACAAACCGTAGGGTTTAAATATTTTTGGGTGGGTTTGGGTTTGATAATTCCCAAACCATAGTGCATGGGTCGAGTGATTAAAATGGTTAAATCCGAACCAACAGACCCTTGTACACCACTACCTGTACCTACACAATTCAATATTTCCTTGCCTCCCCACAATGCAAGGAAGGGCTTTAGAGTCTTTTTGCATCTTAATTATCTTTTTTTTTTTTTACAAGGAGGAATCTTTATTGCATTTCAACTGAACCAGTTACAAAAAGAACATGAAGAACCAAAGAAATGGATCCAGTGAGAGGAGAGAAACAAAGAACATGAAGAATCTTTATTGCATCTTAATTATCGGTGGACATCACTTGGGCTGGGCCACTTGCTTTTCCCGCAGGACACTGTCTAGCATTGAATGAATTATGGTAAGTTTGGTGCTTTGCTAATATAAAAAGGTTATACATTACTTTAATTTAATATTATATTCAAAATTTTAAAAAATAAAAACAATGAAAATAAATGGTACGAATAGAATATCTTTCATTTCAATCTCAATTGCATTTTTTCATAAAAAATTATATTTAATGTGATTTACCATAAAATGATATTTCATATATAATTATGTTTCTATTTGCATTTGCTTCACAATCGAACAATATGGGAAAGAGAAGGTTTTTTTTTTACCATAAAAAAATTATATTTAATGTGATTTTCCATAAAATGATTCCTGGCCTGTACTGGAATCCATCGAGAGGCGAGTTAACCAGTAGGATAACGATGAACTACTGCGGCCATTTCAACGAGAAGAAATTTGGAATGCCTTGAAACAAATGGGAGCCAGGAAAGCGCCGGGGGCGGATGGACTATCGGTTTTATTTTTCAGGAAGTACTGGAGTATTATTGGTGATGACGTGGTGGAGGCTATCCTACAGATATTGGAAACAGGTGTAATCCCAGGGGATTTAAACCACACGCTTATCACTTTAATTCCCAAGACGAAGCATCCATCCACGCCTGCGGAGTACAGACCCATTAGCTTGTGTAACGTCCTTTATAAGGTGGTGTCAAAAGTCCTGGCCAACCGAATCAAACCTTTTTTGGACAAGATAATTTCTCCATCGCAGAGTGCGTTTATACCGGGGCGACTTATAACAGACAACGTCATGACAGCCTTTGAGTGCTTTCATACGATGAAACGAAGTCAGAAGAGGAAGGTTGGACATTTTGCAGCAAAAATCGATATGGCGAAAGCGTACGATAGGGTGGAATGGCGCTTTCTGGAGGGTGTGATGAGGCGAATGGGGTTTGCTGACCGATGGATTGGACTGATTATGATGGGGGTAACCTCAGTGACGTATTCAGTGCTCGTAAATAGACACAGATCCGAACCCTTTGCACCTAGTAGAGGGATTCGGCAGGGCGATCCGTTGTCACCTTACCTTTTCCTGCTCTGTGCGGAAGGGTTATCAGCCTATACAGCCAAAGCGGTATTAGAGCAGAGGCTGCATGGGCTGCAGGTGACTCGAGGAGCCCCGGTGATTACCCACCTGTTTTTCGCTGACGATTGTGTCTTTTTTGCTAGGGCAACGCAAAGGGAATGCTTGGAGTTGAAGGAGATCCTTCGTGACTATGAAAAGGAGTCCGGCCAGCTAGTGAATTTCCAAAAATCGGAGGTCTCCTTCTCATCCAATGTCAAGTCACATAACAAACTCACAGTAGGTGGTACGCTGGGCATAAAGATCGTGGAGAAACATGACAAATATCTTGGCCTGACCACTGAGGTAGGCCGATCCAAAAGAGAGGTGTTTGTGGGTCTCAAGGAGAGGGTACGTCAAAAGCTGAAAGGGTGGAAAGAACGCACCATGTCGGTGGCAGCTCGGGAGGTCCTTATCAAATCTGTGGCCCAGGCGCAGTTGACGTATGCCATGTCAGTGTTCAGAATACCGGAGGGGATTATTGATGAAGTCCATAGCCTCATTACCAACTTCTTCTTCTGGGGCCAAAGGGGTACGGAGAGACGAGCACACTGGTTGAGAAGAGAGGAGCTCGTTACGCTGAAAGAAGACGGAGGCCTGGGGTTTCGCGACCTACGCGGCTTTAACACTGTCCTCCTCGCGAAACAGCTTTGGTCCATAGCCCAGCGACAGGACTCCCTGGTAGCGCAGGTACTTAAAGCCAAATATCACAGACTCTCTTCCATCTTGGAGGCAAGGGTGGGCAGCCGACCTAGCTTCGTTTGGAGGAGTTTGATGAGCGCCCATGAGTTTTTATGCAGGGGCCTAAGATGGCGAGTGGGGAATGGAGCAAAGGTACGAATCTGGGGAGATAATTGGCTCCCAAATGAAGAAATCTCTTATGTCACGTCGGCGCCCAGGGGGCTGCCTGTGGACTCAGTAGTCCGTGAGCTCATTGACCCAGACACGGAGGAGTGGAATCAACCATTGATCCATAGCTGCTTTCCAACGTCCATAGCTCAAACTATCATATCAATTCCTCTGCGAGGTTGTGAAGAACAAGATAGGATGGTGTGGAAGCACAGTGACTCGGGAAGATTTATTGTTAAGGAGGGATACAAACAATGGCTTGCAGATTTTAAGAGGGAGGAGAACATTGCTGTCAGTGGAGATCCAGCGCTGTGGAAGACGATCTGGAGCATGAATGTCCCACCTAAAATACGCCACTTCATGTGAAAATTTACCCGGGAAGTGCTACCGACAGGGATTAAGGTGGCCGCCAAGAGTGAACGTTGGAGCGACACCTGCCCTTTTTGTAACCAGAAGGAAACGCAGCGACACCTGTTCTTCGAATGCAACTGGGGAAGTCGGATATGGAGGAAATCTCCAAGGGCACAGCTGTTCGACGTAATTGGAATGGCAAGCTGTATGGAGCGGGTGGCGAAAACCATACATGACCAAGATCGAGAGACGCTGGAGAAATGGGTAACAATTTTATGGGCTCTATGGAAGGAACAGAATGCGCAGTTATTTAATGGGAAGAAGTGGCCGGAGGATGAGATCATATCTCGAGCCTTGACTATACTCGACGAATACCAGCGGAACCAACGCAGCAACCCTAAGGCGGATAATATTCAAATGGAGGAGAAGTGGAGGAGACCGCGGGAAGGCTGGATTAAAATAAACTCAAAGGCTGGGTTGATTGCAAACGAAGGGGTGGGATTGGGAGTTGTCATTCGCAACCACCTAGGTCATTTTGTTGCTGCAGCGGCGAAGAAGGTACGTGGGGCGATCGGAGTCGAGATGGCTGAAGCACTTGCGGCGGAGATGGGGGCCCAGCTCGCATGCCAGCTGGAACTACCGCGACCGGAGCTTGAAGTCGACTGCTTGTCCCTGATTGAGGAGTTCCAGACAGCGGACAGAATTCATACTGAAGTGGGACTGATAAGTCGTCGAACTGTGAGTTTCCTTCGGGATAACGGGTTGGACGTGATGCATATACGTCATGTTAGAAGGCAAGCGAATAATGCAGCACATATTATGGCTCATAGCGAGACTCGTTGGGATTGTCGTGAGGTTTGGTTGGACAGACCGCCTGTGTTCCTTGTTGGCCAACTACGGTTGGATGATGTAAACACTCCAGTTTGATTTATAATATTACAGGTTTACCATAAAAAAAAGAAGGTTTTTTTTATGATGGAGATTCTTGAGAGTAAAAAGATACTGATCATTATAAAATATTTATAATATCGTGTTATTAAGTTTATTATGAGTTGATATACCTTTTCATGAGTGCTATATTTTTATTTTTAATAAAAATCAGCGTAGGAGGCACATATTACAATGTTAGTAATCTTTCTTATGTATGCTCATTTCCTATTTTTCAAACAATTGAAAAATTAAACTTTGGTGAAAATTATTAATTGTTAATTCGCATGACATTGACATACAATCATAGCACGAACATAAAAGAAGAGGATAAACTGAAATTTCAACTTGAAATTTTATTAATTACTGTTATCATATTGCAACCGGCCAACGGGCCGGGGTACAATCTAGTTTAACATATAAGGTAAAGTAGGGGAAAAAAATGCTTGGCTTGGTGGGTAATTAGGTGGATCAGTTAGGATCCTGATGGGGAATCATTAGTACTTGGTTAGTATTCATACTAACATATTCCCAAATTAATCATCTATTAGATTTTATTAATGATAATCCAACTAGCTACAAGCCTAGTAGCTTACAACAAGACTATAATTATAGGAGTCGTGATCCCATTTGGTTTCAGGTTTTTAAGGCATTTTGTTATATAATATATGGGGTACCATGAGGCATGAGGTTTGTGCTTCCGTCACTCCACTTTGCCATTACCTTCGCCAAAGGGCCGTGTTTTTTCTATTACATAGGAATCTCACCCTCGTCAACATGACTTTGTTCCTAGTAGTCTTGTATCTTCGGGAATAACAACAGGTCTCTCTTGGATTTGAACCTGGAATCTGCAACTCCCAAATTTTCACTGTCGCGGCAGTTTTATCGTTAGACTAAAGTGTCTTGTTAATTAATGAAGGAAGTGAATGATGAAGAAATTGTGCTCCAATTTCATCGAGCGAAGGAATTTTAACTATTTCAGCATTTGAATAGTTAAAAAATTGAGAAGTTAAATTCATGGAAACTTATCTATATTCTCTCCCAAGAAGGTAAGTTTGTGAATTTTGTCATTAGAAATGTCAAATTAACATAAATGATCCTCTAGAATTATTTTTCAACTAAAAATATTCAAATGTTGACTAGATGAAAGAATTTTAAATTATTTTGGGTAGAAACCTTTAAAATGTTAAATTCTTTCATCTAAGCAACAACTAAAGAGTAGGTGAAAAATTAGGCAACTCACTAGTGTCATATAAACCAACTAGTCACAATAACTCGAGTTGTTGATAGATGTCAATGTATGGATTTTAACAACTTTCCTCAAATGAAAGCCAACTCATGGACTTAAAATTTGTACAGACCGGACAATACCATGTGATTTAAAACAATGGTTAATTATCTTGGCGTCGTGAGGACTTGAACACGTGACCTTAGAGACAAACCAACTTTGAGAGCTCAGAGATAGCAGTTTCCACAAATACCCCTCTTAGGCCCTAGCTTTGACATTGACACTTGACAGGAGAGTCGGGTGTATTTGTGGAGTTAGTGGCGGACCTATGATTTTTAAAGAGGTGGTTCAATAATAATATAAAAATAAAAATAATTTGTAACGTATAAATTTTTTAGTCTTTTCCAGGGAGCCACAATGGCTTTTCATATTTTGAAAGGTTTATAAAATACATTCGTTTCATACTCTATGACCCAAACCTTTCTTAATAAATGCAACCAAGCAATCATTCAAAAATTGATCTCGCATAGTTTTTGGTTTCTTCTATAATTAAGATAGGTATTGGATTTCTTTTATAAGGAAATTAGTTTTTTTCCTATCAAAATCGGGATTGAGTGATTTAATACTTTCCGTATAGAATTATTTACAAATTAATAAACTTTTGGTATACAATAACTGTTTGGACTTTGCTACGGTGACATGCATGTCACGGTGACATGCACTTTTCGGTCCACCTCATATAGGATCAGGTCGACCTAATCAGTTGTTTCAGTGTACAAACAGTTTCATGGTGCCTACTTTGAAGATTCATATCTTACAATTGGCTAGATGGAAATTGGAGATTAAAGGCTTGTTTTGAAGCTGAAGTGTCCCTCTACACATTAAAGTACTTGGGAGCTCAATAGAAAGTCCAGAAGACCATTTTTGAACCTGAACAAAAGGCTATGCCAAAACTGGGAAACTGTCTGAAAATGGCTAAGTCTGGCAACGTGTTTGTCAAGCCTACTTTGGAGCTCAATTTGACAAGCATGGATGCGAGTCAAGTCCAGGGGCCTTTACCACGTTAAATTATGTATTTTTTTATACAAAGGCAAGGCATTGAATGAAAGATTGAATATCTTTAAGCTTCAAACAAAAGGCTCGAAGTTGCTACGAAGGCTGTTTTTCTGGCAGCTTGCTTGTGCTCGAAGTCTGCCAGAAAAACAGCCTTCGTAGCAACTTCGACCCTTTTGTTTGAAGCCTTAAATATATCCAATCTTTCATCCAATTCCTTGAATTTGTATAAAAACATACCTAATTTAACGTGGTAGAGGCTCCTGGACTCGACTCGCATTCATGCTTCTCGAATTGAGCTCAAAAATAGGCTTCACAAACACGTTTCCAGACTTAGCCATTTCTAGGCAGTTTCCCAGTTTTGGCATAGCCTTTTGATGAGGTTCAAAAATGGTCTTCTGGACTTCCTATCGAGCTCTCAATCACTTCAATATGTAGAGGGACACTCCAGCTTCAAAACAAGTCATTAGTCTTCAATTTCCATCTAGCCAATTGTATGATATGAATATCCAAAGTAGGCACCATGAACTGTTTTTACACTGAAACAACATATTAGGTCGACCGGATCCTATATGAGGTCGACCGAATCCTAAATGAGGTCGACCGGATCCTATATGAGTTCGACCGAATTCTATGTGAGGTCGACCTAATCCTAACTGAGGTCGACCGGAAAGTGCAAGTCACCGTGACATGCATGTCACCGTAGGCACACCCTAACTGTTTAGCATTGTTAAAACAATAATTGACACACCACCTTATAACATAGGTCCGCTATTTGTCATTTGGTGTAAATCAATAGTCTGGGAAGTGAGCCGAATGTTCCAGGAAGATGGCAGGAAGGTTCCATCCATGGATAACCTGAGTCCTGAGGGTTTGAGGGATTCGTGGTGCCTTCTTAGTCAAAACGTCAAACATTCTAAAAGTTTGTTTTTTCATTTTTGAGAGCTCCAATTTCTGCCCTCAATCATGGTCAAAAATTGCCAGGACAAGCACAAGTCCATAACACTCTATTTTCGAGACAGATTTCTTAATTTAGAAATTTAGAATATGCGATGGGCTCCTTGCTTAATTGTACAATTTAGTAAAATAGGTACTTAGACTAACTCCAACCCATAAAAGCCAAATTTGGCTCCCAAATAGCCAAATATGGCTTTTTAGCTCTCCAAATCCCATTTTCACTCCAACCCTACAAAAAGCTAAATTTAGCTTCCCACCTTTTTTTCAATTTATTTCAATAAACCACACTTATTTGGGTCTAATTTTTATATTTCACTTATAAATTTTTAATACTTAGTTATTACTTTTGAAAATAAATTTTTTATGTAACTTTTTTTTAATTCCGAGAAAAAATAAAAGTTTAAAAAATTAGTCGTTATTTCGTCACTACTTATTTATTTCTCATTCAAATGGTTGGAGAAGAAAAAAAAAAGAAATACCAACCAATTGAAATTGGAGAAGAAAAGAAGGAAAAGAAAAAGGAAGGGGTGGTCCCGCCGCAGGGCCCCACTTTTGCCAGCCAACCAATAAAAAATTGAAGAAGAAAACAAGAAAAAGAAAAGTGAGTGGCGGTCCCGCCGCAGGGCCCCCACTTTTGCCTAGCCAAATATGACTTCCCTTCTCCAAATCAAGCCAAATTTGGCTCCTAAACATCAAATACCAATATTTAGCTCCTCTTTTTTTTTTTTGGGTTCGAGGAAAAAAGAGAGCCAAATATGACATTATAGTTTTTTAGCTCCTTGGGTTGGAGCCAGTCTTAGTGATATTATTCTATTTTAATGCTAATATATTAACAAATTATTGTTATCACTATAAAATTAAAATGAGATATATTTTCAATAGAATTATGTCGACGTGTTAACGGGCGTACCCAAGCCCTCTAGGCGCTTGTCTTTGCAGGGTCCGGGCGCCTGTAACGTAGAGAGAAGCTTCGCCGCATCTCGTTCGGTGGGGCCAGAGTATCTTGGCTCAAACAACTATTTATATGTTTGATTATTTTTAATTGCAGTAAAACACAAACATTTAAAATGTGACTTGAAATAAGACATTGATTATGATCTACACTATGATATCCACTTTGCTATATTTAGAGTGTAAAAATTAGTATTTCAAAACACTTATTTGTAATCTTGTCCCCGTCATATATGTCATATCATGATCTTACCACTAGGGTAAGACCAAGTGCATATTATACATTGTCATATCATATGACAGTGGTATGATGTCATCGAATTCTTTTTTCTAACATAAATATCATACCAACATCATATCAACAACGTGCCACTATAATATCATACTACTATGAGTTGTAAATATCGTGATATGATAGTGGTATGTTGACCTGAAAATTTTTGTTAAAAATATCAAAACGGATATCATATTGTTGAGCACAAAAAAGAAAGCATTAAAAGAAAATATCAAATTTTTATTTCATTGAATACAATCTAATACATCTGTTTACCATATACATATATATCTCTCCTAATACAATCAAATAGATTTAGAAGCTATAAAAAATATAGGTACATTACAAATTTCAGAACTAAAAATAAAAATATGCTCTCTAAATTCAGATGATAGGTTGCATATTAGGAAAGTATCAACAATTTTAGGACTCCATCATTTAATTTTTTCCAATATGAAAATTCTGTCAATCAATATTAGCCAAGTGAGAAGTGAGTTCTTTGGGATCTGTTGTCCAGATGAGACCAATTTTGACCAC